TTCAGGATTGAGCTAAGCGAGGCTCAAGGAGCCGACGCGTTACTTGTGTTCTAAAAGCATTATTGATAAGAAAAATAATAATTTACCTAATCGTTGTAGTTGTTTCAAGGCATCGTCAATATATTCTTTTTTTGGTTTATCAGGTAAATATTGTTGAAATTCTTTCAAACTAGTTTTCAGTCGAGATCTTCGTAAAGCAAATTCTATATTCACTAATTCTGATTGACATATTTGTGGCACAGGATACTTTCTTTGTTCGCCTAGAATATAAATTTTTTCTTTTCATGCTGAAAATACCTTTTCTTGACATACCAGATGTATAATCATATAGTGCATAGTATTCACCAGGTTGTGTTCTACCAAGTCGACCACGTCTTTGTTTGGTTGTCGATTCAGCAGCTTTTATTTCTTGTAATTCAGTTCTTTCTAATTGTAAACTGTATACTGGCATATTGATCAAGCCAGTATCAATAACATATTTCAAACATGGAAATGTCAATGATGTTTCGGCAACCGTTGTCGAGAAAAAGACAGTGCCTTGTTCAATATATTTTTGCTGATCAATAGCCGATTGTGATTGTATGAGAGGATATGCAACAATCGCACCTTTTGTTATCTTATTTATTAATCGACAATTTTCCAATGTTTCGAATGTTGAACCGACAAAACAAAGTATTTGATCATGTCGGTTTCGTTTACTATATAATCTTTGTACAAGATCGAGTAAATTTTCCTTTGGTGCATCATTTACAGTCACTGTATAAAGCGTCGATAATGATACTAAATTAAATTCAATTAAAGAACAACCCGGAATGTTTCGATACAATGCCGGAACTGATGAATCTAAAGTAGCAGATGATATAATCACTTTCATTTTCGTTTTCAATGCAGGTTTCAATTTTAATAGTCGTGCAAATAATGCCAAACATAAATCAATATTTATTGAACGTTCATGGACTTCATCAATGAAGAATACGACTGATTTTTTCACATGGGTATTTTCTGTTATCAAATTATCATCGTTCAATAGACGTTCTTTCAATAAACCGTCGGTCATATAAAGAATATTGGCTTGTACATTATGCTCTTTGCCACTTACTGCCCATCCACTTATGTTATCGTTAACCATTGAATTAACACGTTGAGATATCATGTTACATGGTAGACGTCGAGGTTGCGTGACAATTATCCTGTCATAACCTTCAGCGACCAGCAAGGCTGGTAGAAGTGTTGATTTTCCTGCAATAAATTAAGTAAAACACAACTTACGTTATTTTGCACGAACAGAAAGTAAATTGTTCTCATCTTTCTTTATTCTATTCTCTAGACTGAAAGGCTAGGATCTAGAAACCGAAATTCACCTGTGTCTGTCTGTCTGTCTGTCTGTCAGTAACGCGGTCAAAATGGCCATTTTTTTGGCACATGTGACCATTTTTTTGGCACAAACGGCCATTTTTTACTAAAATTAACTAGGTAACTATGGTACAAATGAGCATGTAACTATCCCATGTCCTTTGAATCGGCTAAAAATTGCCGATTAATCCCGATTTATCGAAACGACAATCGTGAGCTGAATCGCGATAGAATCGCCGATTATTCCCGATTATTTCAGCGATTTTTACGATAAATCGTGATTTTATGCAAGATTTAACCGTCTGTTTACTGATATTTTCTACTATTTCATTGGTTCTTTTGGAGACACATATTTGGATTTTTTCTTGAATTTAATTCAATTTTTTTGTTCTCAAGATCCAAGCCGATCAGATCGTGCGATCTGTCCGATCTCGAGCTGGTCCGATTCTTATCAGACCGCTTCAGTGTAGTCCTCTCCAGATCATGGATCGGGATTGCCATTTCCTTGATTAAAAATAACCAAGAAATAATTTATCAGAAAAGTATATTTCGAAAACTTATTTGTTATGCATTGAACGGCGTTGTTTATATATCCGTGTGTGTTCATAACAAAACGGTGAATGAATAATTGTCATGATTTATCAATGATTTTTGAAAATCAGCTCTTCTCCCATAATCGCGATAAAATCTGATATAATCGTCGATCTTTTAAAGAAATACGATAAATCACGATTTTACACCAATTTTTTAGAAAATCGCGAAAATCGCGGTGATTCTCATGACATGGGATAGCACAAACGGTCATTTTTTGGTACAAACGACCATGTAACTATGGCACAGGTGACCATTTTTTGGCACAAACGACCATTTTTTTACTAAAATTAACTAGGTATCTATGGTACAAATGAGCATGTAACTATGGCACAAACGGTCATTTTTTTGGTACAAACGACCACGTAACTATGGCACAGGTGACCATATAGCAACCATGGTACAAACAACTATTCCGGTAACTATGGCACAAATGACCATCTAAAGACTGATGTAAATGAACCCATAATAATCATGGGTAAAATGTCAATGGAATAACTATAATTCGGGTAGTGGTGTAAAACGGCTTACAAAAGCATTTAATTAGTGAGAGGGTGACCAAATGAGCAGTATGGATTTAAAGAAATCGTTTAAATTATTCATTATTGTAGGATTCATTGTACAATGTTGTATCAATGAATATCTAATTTATTAATAGTTTAGAATTAATGCTCGAATTTAAGCATAAAATATTGATTAATAAAACTCAAATTTTATGAATAATATAATTCATATTTTTGTACGCACAAATAGCGCCAATATAATTATAAAAAAATCGTATTCTTGTCTAATCTTATTGAGCGCTATTTATATTTATAAAAGCACAAAAAAACAATAAACAAAAACGACAAAAAAAATTAAATTTGTAAATGCATCATCTTTACTTAGAGTGAGAATTCTCCAAATTAAGTTTTCTGCTCGCCTAAGATATACTGGTCATATTATCAATTTTGCGTATTACTTTTTTAATGTAGCTTTTTATGCTATTACATCCGTACATGTATTCTATCAGTCTAGGGCTAAGTGAATCGCTTGACGATGAACGTTACTTGTTATAATAATCGAGGATTAGACTAAATATCAAAAGAGCCTAATTCTTTACTGGGGATAAATTCTACGTCGAGGATCATGAAGAAAATAATTTATTACTGCCTTAGAAAAAGAGATCTGAGCTTTTCTTATGTCATTGCTGCCGTATGAACGAAATATTCTAGACATATTTTTTACCTGAGCCCGTCGCTGTTTCGATAGTTATAACTGTATTGTTAGCGATTTTGTTTAAGAGATCAAGAGATGCATTGAATAGCGGTAATTGCACCAGAAAGCAATGATATAATATCATTAAACGTTGTAATAGAGATACAATCAATTGAAAATGTTTTAATTCACATCCCTTATAATCGGCATTTTTTGTCAATGTATTTTTAACCGTTTCAATATGTTTGTTTAACGCTGAAGCAGATTCTTTTGTTGGCATGGTTTTCGTCGATTTTTGTTGTAAGAAAATATATTCATGGATGAATTCATTTAGAGCAGTCATCTTTAGTGATTCAACATCATCAGAAAATGTTTCTGCTTTCATATAATCGTTTGTCGAGTCGATTATAACTTTTCGAAAATCTTCCATTGGATGTTGAATACATGTATCTAATAGTTTTTTCAATTCATCCTTCATACGGTTCTTGAATTTTTGGACATAACTATCATATTTTTGATTGATTAGTTTAACTAAAGAATTACAATACGGTTTCCAATAAGTTGGATTCTTAGGATGTACTCGATGAATTATTCTCAATAAAGATTGTATATTTTTGTTTGTTTTTTGACTATAATATTCTTCAGCAGATTGAATTTGTTGGACTAGTTTTTGCCATCGTTCTAAAATCTTCTTTAATTCTTGATGATGTATTGGAAAACCTTTAAGTGTTATTTTACCATCATTGTCATCCTCTAAGTCAATTAGAGGTATATTATCTTTAAAATATTCTTTAAGAGGATAACTCAATTTTCTCAATGTATTGACTATTAAATTGAATTTCGAAAGTATAGACTGGTTTGATTTCGGAACAGTATAGTGAGCGGTAGATATTTGTTCGGCTGTTTTCGTCATCAAGTTTTCTTTTTCAGTTTTTGCATTTAATTCTTTCTGTAAATCTTCTAATCTATCTATTGTTGTACTCAATCTTGCAGCGCTTGCTGCATCATTTTCATTCAAATTTTTCGTTTTTTCTTCGACTTCTCTTTCGAGTATAACGATCTTTGCTTTTAATTGCTCATTTTCAAGTTCCATAGTGGCTTGAGCTTTTTTCGCTGCGTCATCTTGTCTAGCATGGATATTAGCTTCGGAAACCTGATCAATTGTTACCTTTTCCGTTGTATCTTTAGGTTGGCCTATTTTTTCATCGATAAATGTGCTAAGGCTTGGTATTGGAACATCTGGAACAGGATCCACATCAGTTCCCAATGCTAGATCATCTAGAAAATAAAAGATATACAAAGTGACAATTAAGTTCTATTTTTACGGTGTTCAGTTGATGATTGAAAATCAGTGCTCAGAAGGTCAGTAACGCTCCAAGTACCAAGATTGGTAATCGAAGAACTCGAATATGCACTGTTGTCATTATCATGATCATCATCATCATCATCCACTCCATTTTCAGTTATTGGTAAATCAATCATAGGATTGGTTTCTTCATTTTCATTATCTTCAGTTGTAGTCATGCTTGCTACCATCGCCGATTTCGATCCGTTATATTGTTCTAATCGTTTTGTTGTCAAAGGTATTGGATTAAAATTATTGATCATTTTAAAATTATCCAATATCTTGATGCTATTTTGATTATTAGGTGTGTTTGCAATAAGTTTAGGTATCCATCGAATAAAACCTAATATTGTTTTATCTCTATTGGTAAATGTAAATGTATATAGATTGCATTTAACAGTTGTATTTTCATTATAATTAATATCAAAATTACAATCAATATCGACATATCGTCGTCTATAATTCATTGTGTCGTCCAATA